CCACCGAGAAGCCTGGCTACAGAGGGCAGCACCTTAGTGCCGCGAAATATGAACTAAGCTGGCAGACAGCATGGGCTGTCTGTGCAGACGGTACAGGCTGTCTACATACGCTCGGCCACCTACCGCGCGTCGTCCCGATGCGACAATACTGATGGTAAAAGAAACTCGGTCTCTCGTAGGAACAGGGCACAGAACACAAAATAAAAACATATACATATATATACATATGGACATGGAAAAAAAACTTCCTACAGGGAGGGAAGAAAAAACATGTGGGGTGTGCTAAACATCGTGGTCAAAGGCAGTGAGCGTCGATGGGCATCACTGCACTCCTTCCTGCGTCTGGACATACTGCAACACAGGAGACATCGCTGCGGCTGAGCTGTGACGTAACAGGTTACGGTCTCCTCTGGAATGGTGAAGCAGTCATCGTAGGAGTCACTGCGGGTTTCACTCAACCTGGGGCACGACATGCTGGTGCCCTCGGCAACTGGGCAGGACTTCTGGCAAGCGACTCAGGAGGACACTTCTCGACTGGTACTGTCGCTGGGCTGTCACTGCCGGCGAGCGTCGAGCGAGTTGTGGAGCGAGTCGTGGCAGAGACGACTGGGCGAAACATCTGGGAGTTGTAACATCATACACCAGACTGCAGTGAGAGAGCTAGCAGTCAAAGTGACATCTTCTTTGTGCAGGCTGCTCACTGAAGTTTGTGACACGAGGCTGACACAGCGCCTGCCGACAGGGCTAACTGCGGCTTGACGAGTGTCATTCTCTCGGCAGTTGGAGTTATAGCAGAGGTTAGTCTAAGCGTCCCCAGATTTGTTTCTCTACATATAACTGCATTCTGAAGATCTGGAGGTGAAGTGAAACAAATCTCGATGGGAATCGTAGCAGGTACGATTCTGCAGAACAACACGAGCGACGAGCATTAAAGCTTTCTGTACAAGAGGGCTCGGGCTCAGGGCTGTCTGATAGCTGTCAAACACACTGGTCACACGGGTGACTTAACACAGTGGTGCTACTCAGGTCTGGCTCAGACCTCACTGGACACACGGAAACTTTACACACCCGCGGTACATGCGGTATAACATGGCTTAAACTAGCAAATGATGCTTTTCTGTGCATAAAACTGACACTAAGACATATACTAAAATGTGAGAACACTGACTGAGAAGAATTAATTAACACACGACATATATCTTCTCTCAATCTTCTCGACAATACTGAAATAATTACTGAACACTCGATGGTGACATCATGTGATGTCAGGCGTGATGTCGAGAGGTGACATCAGCAGACATCTTGAGGTGACGTCAGGCAGACATCATGACGTCATGAAATCGGGCAGCATCGTCGGTGACGTTAATGTGATGCGGGCAGCAGACCACAGCATTAGGCCTGGGACATCTGGTAACTCACGTGGCTGGTAGATCCACGTGACATCGCCCACACCCAACGTGGTGTCGGGATCCACGTGGTGTTGTGATCTACGTGGCATGCTGATCCACGTAGCTTCGAGTGGCCTCGGGCACTCGGATACACAGCACTGGCGACGAATTCACACGAAAAACAGCAGAAAACACACAGTGGTGAGTGGTGTATGGTAGGCTGGTGAGGTGTGAGATTACAGCAGGGCGAGGCAAGGAATGGCCACTTCCTCCCTTTCTCTCCCACCCACAAACACGTGGAGAAGCTCACACTGGACACAGAAATCACCACAAAACTCACCTCTGGCTTGCTGAAACAGCTGTGCTGAGCTGAACAACAGCAGCAACATACAAGTGACGCTGAACACGTGACTTGAGAAACAGCGTGGGACGCTGTAGCGTGGGGTCACTGGGACGCCACTTACAATTCTCGAAGAAATTCGGCAAATTTCGGCTGCATCCTGCTTGTACCTGTGTCTGGATGCTCAAACGTGCAGACACGACATCAGGATAACTCGTTGAGAGACGGATGCTTCTTGCATAGGGTGATAAAGTGAAGATGACTTCATTCCTCTTCCTTCCTCTCTCCGGGCAAACAACTGCTGCGACCACCGCTTCCCACCATTTATAACGCGATTATTTGGTGAACTGAAAGCGGGTGCGTGAATGATATGTCTTCCCGAGGCTTCTTTGTTTATTGAAAATGTCGTGGTGGGTACACAGACTTTGTGTTGTGCCCATGGCCCGGGCAGGGCCATCCCACGAGAGGAGAGAGAGTAGCTTTCTTGACTGAGTGAAGGGTGTCGCCAGACTGAGAGAGCATGGCAAGGGCAGGCAGGCTGGCATGCCCACCAAGAGGCTTGGCTACAGAGGGCAGCACCTTAGTGCCGCGAAATATGAACTAAGCTGGTACAGGCTGTCTACATATACACACCTACCATCCGACTTACGACCTGCTCGACATACGACCACTCGACTTATGACAGTGTTTTTTTGCCAAATTTCTGGGAAATAAACAACTATTTGTGTTGTACACAGTGTTTATCCTAAACGTTACAGTATAAAATACAGTACTAACAGCATAAAAAGTAAAGTAAAACATGAAATACCAAAATAAAACAATAAAATAAAGTCATTACAAAAATGTGATGTTGATATTCAGTAGTAAAGTTCGACTTATGGCCGGTTTCTCGGAACCGAACTTGGTCATAAGTCGGATGGTAGGTGGTGTGTGTGTGTGTGTGTGTGTGTGTGTGTGTGTGTGTGTGTTGTGTGTGTGTGTGTGTGTGTGTGGTGTGTGTATAATATATATATATATTATATATATATATATATATATATATATATATATATATATATATATATATATATATATATATATATATATATATATATATATATATATATATAATATGTATATATATATATAATATGTATATATATACAGTGGACCCCCGATTAACGATACTTTTTCATTCCAGAAGTATGTTCAGGTGCCAGTACTGACCGAATTTGTTCCCATAGGAATATTGTGAAGTAGATTAGTCCATTTCAGACCCCCAAACATACACATACAAATGCACTTATATAAATACACTTACATAATTGGTCACATTAGGAGGTGATCGTTAAGCGGGGGTCCACTGTATATATATAATCAAATTTAACTGCTTTCAATTTTAAATATTTTTTTATTTAATGCATATTCTGTTAAACATGCAATACTCTATACTGTACATGTATATCTTTGGCCACCATGATAGTAAGCTAGCCAGCCAGCCAAGACTTTCAAGAACCAGAACCATTAACATATGCCCTGTCTTCATATACTAATGATTCATACTAGTTAGTAATATCAAATATCACAAAAGAATCTTTTAAAATAATGATGTAGTTTGATATTTTATGGTTGTTAGGAGTGACCTGCTGCCACAGTCACTTGGCAGATTCCCACAAGGCTTCTACACTTACAAATGCTTTGAATTTTTTTGGCAAGTCTTTTAGACAATGTGTATATTTTTTATTTTATACTTCTTGCAGTAAAGATGTTATATTTTATTGTTATACAGTGGAACCTCAAAAATCGAGCTTAATCCATTCCAGGAGCTAGTTCTAAATTCGAAAAGTCTGAAATTCAAAGCAATATTTCCCATAAGAAATAATGGAAATACAATTAATCCGTTCCAGAAACCCAAAAATATTCACACAAAAAAATACATTTTATAGAGATTAATTACAGTTTTACATACAACAAATGCTATAGTTTTTAATTATGTATAGTAATACATATAAAATAACATTTTTACTTACCTTTATTGAAGATTGGTAATGGCATCTGGAAGATAGGGAGGAGGAGAGAGGGAGTTGGGGTTAGTGTTTGGAAGGAGAATCCCCCTCCATGAGGACTTCAGGTAAAGCCCTCTCTGGGGTTACTTCCCTTCTCTGTCTTTTAATGCCACTAGGACCAGCTTGAGTCACTGGACCCCTGCCTCACAAAATAGCTGTCCACAGTCCTCTGTTTCTGGCGCCTCTTTAACATTTCCCTAAAATGGGACATGGTTCTGTCACTGAACTTGTTGCAAAGATGGCTTGTTTCAGCTTGCTCAGGGTGGTACTTCTGCACAAACATTTGGACATCATTCCACTTGGCACAAATCTCCTTAATCTTTGAAGAAGGCACCTCATCCACTCCCTATATTAACACCTTTTGCAACATCAGCTTCCTTGATTTGTTTTTTCTTTGACAGGATAGAACCGATGGTCGACTTGTTTTTCCCATACATCCTGGCAAGCTCAACAAGTCTCACACCACTCTCATACTTCCGTATTATTTCCTTCTTCACATCTATGGTGTTTCTCACTTTCTTTACCACAGGGGTACCACTAACAAGTTTCTTTGGGCCCATGGCAGTTTATTTCACAGTCCCACAAGCACTAAACACAACGAAATAATCGTAAAATGCATGAATGAGAGTGCAGGTTAGTGTTCACTCAAGCATAAACAAAGCTAGACTGCTCATGGCGCCTGTGCGGGGACGCGGACAGAGCAGCCGGCAGACAGGTCCCGTACTCGGCGGTCTGAAAATAGGGGCGCGTTCGATAATAGGGACACAGTTTGTCCGAAAAAATGGTCCTATTTTCGAAACGTTCGATATGTGATACGTTCGATTTTTGAGGTTCCACTGTATAATGAACATAATTCTTCTATTGTAAACACCTTTACTTTCTAAATTAAAATTCTGATTACATGTGTCAGTATATAGTAAAATATAATCACATGGTAACAATGACTATTGTGGTAATTGTTCTTAATTGTTTAAAATGACAAGTGATCTAACACTAGGATGTATTTATTAGTGTTTGCTCACATTTTTTTTAAACCATTTTGTTGGTATCAGTTTCATACCAGTTGCTCTTCATTCTTGTTTCTTAGTACTGTATGTACACTGTTGCTACTGTTTCTGAAGAAACTACTTAGTGTGTATAAACAATGAGAAATATACCTAATTGTATATACCCTGAGCAACTTGCTGATTGTGCTCAAATTCTAAACATATTTCTAATACCTTGCAGCTTGTGTGGAGGGTCGCCTTGGAGAGAGCACAGCATCAGTACGGCTGCCGGGCCTCAACGTCACAGAACAGCCTAAGCCTATTGCTGTTAAATCTGAACTCCCTCATCATCCACCTTACAGGTAAATAACAAAAATTACTTAGTTATTTTTATTTGTCCTTGCAGACTATTTGGATAATGCAGAACGAGATATCTCTTAGTATTATATACCTTTCATTAGCTTGTTTTTAGAAGAGTAAATTATTCTGTATTACCTGAAGATTTGTTTTGAATTATTTTATTTTGCACCAAAACTAACATAGAAACTTATTATACCCCTGCTAAAATGTGCCTACAGCAATATAAAATACAGTTTAATTTACTTAACTACATTAGTTGGCTGCTTGTCATCTTTACACCACCAACCAGGAATGCTTTAAGGTTCACGGAATTTCAGAATAGTTCTCACACAGGGCTCCAGTGGCAGCACTTCATACTGACTACCTTGTTTCTGACACACTTTGACATGTCTATTGTTCTTCATATTCTTAATTAACCTAGTCCTCCTTTGCGGTGAAGCTGAGAAATATGTAGAGATTGCAAATTGGGGGGAAACACTGCTTCAATGCTGTACTCGGCAGCAGATGGTCCAAGGTCAGATTCTGGCCTGTACAAGGGACCTATTTAGCTAAGTTCGTCTTGTAGAGTCTTGCTTGAACTCCTAAGTAGTAGATGTCACTGGCATTGTCATATGGCTGTGACCTGCAGTTTTCCATGTTGAGGCCATGAGATTCAAGAACACTTTGTAGAACCTCAAATAAATATCTATCTTCCAGCAAATTGCTGGATTGGGATGAATTGACGAAATCTTTCAACAACGTATCTAGCAAGTGTTATGAAGGCTAGGTCTGTAATTTTGCCTGATTTAAAAAGGGGCTGTTAGTGTACAGCAGTATCCCAGCCTAAACAGATCAAGTTGCTTAAAACAAAACCATCATTTGCTTGGCATCTCATTTTGAAAGTTCTCATAATTTCTCATGTGGGTGTGATGACTGTAATCCTTGAGAGTGAGATCTGACATTATCATCCTAAAATCCCTCACATTAGTTTTTCGCTCTGTTTAGTGGTTGGTTAGTTTTATACACATTTTTAGTTTGTTTAGTCAGATTATCCATAATAGAATACCAGAAATGTGTCTTTATTATCCAAGTTAATTTTGATCGTTGTTTTACCAATCCACTAAAGGGCCGATGAAACAGTAGTGCCTAGGGCCTACAGAAACCTTAATTTGGCCCAGCCTTTCAGCATATTTTCACTGAGAAAATATATAGATTGACTGTCGAATAAAGTCGAATCACATTCCTGCAATTGGCGTGTTATGCAAAATCGTTTTAATTGAACTGAAGACCTTGTGGAAAGAACTAAGATTATTTACTGGCACTTTGAGTAAAGTCAAATAAGTCTTTTTTAAAAAGTTTTGTAATTCTTCAAACTAATAAAAATTTTCCATTCCTTACAATATAGTTGTTATTGCTTGTTGATCGTGACATAAAGTACAGTACCTGTATCAGCTGCCACAAATATTTTCAACCACAACTGCCATCACCTGCCAACATCAGTAAAAATACCATATATTAGCAGCCATAAGACAAGCTTTTACTAAAATATGCTCATTGCAATACCTATATAAATACGAATCATACCATGGGCGTGGTTTGAACCCACAGTGAGAGTTGTAAAACTCCAGACCAACATGTTACCATTTCGTGAGTTACATAAATATGTGCATTATACCTGTATCAACTATAATTGTACCAGCCAACATAAGTAAAATTACTGTATATTGCAGGCCACAAAGAATATTTTTACTAAATAAATATTCCCAGAGTTAAATCTCCCTTCCTATGATGAGTGCAAGCCATCCCAGAATATGAAAAATGTGATAAAATTAATGAATAGTATCTCATGTTATCATCATGCCCTGTTGTTATTGTTGGGTCTAATTTAGGGTTCTTATGGCCTAAGTGAATTTTGAGTCCTTGCTGCTGAGATTATCTGAATGTTTTTATAAATATAAACTGTTTAATTGATTAATTTTATTAAAAAAAAAAAGTGTCATTTTCCTCACATTGTCAGTAATATAAATAAGGATAGAAGAGTGCAGAGGAAGCAAACAGCAGCAGCTTGTAAACACTGGAGACAGCAACTCTATCCTCACATATGCCCTTGTTTATCACAAATTATGAGCTTACCAACTAAATTGATGCACACTGTATATTCAGCAGGTACTGTATACACATTATGTCCAATTTCCTCTGGATGTGAAAACATTGCATGTATTGACTGTTGTGCAGGAAACTGCTGTTTTGTCTCCTGTTAATTAGATCCATAACTCCCATTGTGGAGACAGCCGACTTGTTGATTATATTTATATATAATACATGTATATATAATATATATATATATATATATATTAATATATATATATATATTATATATATATATATAATATATATATATAATAATTTTAGGTAATAGGTGGTAGACAGCAACCGCCCAGGGAGGTACTACCGTCCTGCCAAGTGAGTGTAAAACGAAAGCCTGTAATTGTTTTACATGATGGTAGGATTGCTTGTGTAGAAAATGTGCAGTTTGGTCACATGTTATTAGATAATCTACTGTACCTTTCAGTGCATCTACACTAATATATCTTTCGGTGTATATTCATCAATATATATATACACCTTTCAGTGTACATATTATTATTATAATCGAAACTAGGTGCTAAACCCACAAGTCATGCAGTGCTAACCTTTCAGTGTATATACACAGAGAAATACCTCCCCATGTACATACTGTATATTGATTTATACCTTTCACTGTATATACATCAAGGTAAATACTTTTGAATGTATATACACTGAGATGTGACTCAGTGTATGTAAACTTGTGGCTTTCAGTATATATACACTTGAGATGTGTGTCTTAGTTTATATACACTGAGATATATGCCTTTCAGCATGCATAGATATATACCTTTCAGTGCACTGTATATATTCAGTGTGCCACTTAATCTAAGAATTTGCATAACTTTAATTAATTGATTTCCTTGGGTTGGGCTGTATGAATCTTTCAGGTGATCCATCATTTTTAATCTGTATTTAAAACTCTATTTCCAAAATAATTCTAAAACATATTTTTGTCAGTATAGTTTAGATTTGTGGAAAATATTGCTATTAATATACATATAAATGCATGTTTATATTTCTAAAACATAATTGCAAAAGTTTATGACAATAAAAACAAACACTTTTTTTTTTGTTTAGTTGCAGTAACGGTCCTGTTGAGGTGGGGCATTATCCTGCAAACTATCCTCCTCCGAGTGTTGGTGCTGTCACCTCTGCCCCACCACCTACTGTCACCACTGCTGGGGACCATAAGCCTGTCTACCTGCCCTCCCATCAATCACATATATCCCAAACTCAATCTCATTTATCCCAAACTCAATCACATATACCCCAAACTCAATCACATATACCCCAAACTCAATCGCATATACCCCAAACTCAATCACATATATCCCAGTCTCAATCACATTTACCCCAAACTCAATCACATTTACCCCAAACTCAATCACATATACCCCAAACTCAATCGCATATACCCCAAACTCAATCACATATACCCCAGTCACATATACCCCAGCCTCAATCACATATACCCCAGACCCCAATCACACATACCCCAACCTCAGTCACACATACCCCAACCTCAGTCACACATACCCCAACCTCAATCACATATACCCCAACCTCAATCACATATACCCCAACCTCAATCACATATACCCCAACCTCAATCCAATCAATAAATTTAACCCCAACCTCAATCTCATATACCCCAGCCTCAATCACACATACCCCAACCTCAGTCCACACATACCCCAACCTCAATCACACATACCCCAACCTCAATCACATATACCCCAACCTCAATCACATATATCCCAACCTCAATCACATATACCCCAAAATCAAGCACATATACCCCAAACTCAAACACATACTCCACTACCCACAACACATGCTCATACTCATCACACATCTCATACACCAACAGTGACATCTGCTGTTACACCTGCGCCTGCACCGCACACCCCACATACACCAGCACTTCACACACCTCATACACCAACTGCTACCACACCCACTCCTACACCTCCACAGCCGCCTCGACAACCATCTGCTCATATACCAAACTCGCCATCACCACACTACCTCTCCCAACCTGTGGCCTCATCTACAACAACTACAGTTACTACAACTACTACCACTACCACAACAACAACTACCACAACTTCCACTAGTGTTACTCATAATCATGTGGGAAACAGTAGTCGGGTAAGCAATGGCCCAGTGGGTGGGGGAGGTGGGGGTGGCCAGGGGGTGGGCACATCGGTGAACAAGTATAGTGTGAGTGCCTTGGTGTCGTCTGCACCACAGCACAACCACACACTCTATAACAGCGTCAAACCAAGTCCAGTAGCATCCCCTCGAAATCACGTACGATCACCACATCCATCCCCAATTGGTGCTACACCTACTGCTGCTTCAGTTAAGCCTCCGACCCCTAACACCCCAACTGGTCCAGTTTCTGCCCCTGTGCCTTCAGCTGCAGTAACAGGATCAGCTCCAGGGCCAGCAGCTCCCTCCTTACCTTATGGAGTGAAGATTGAACCAGGAGAGACAGCTCGACCGAGCCCAGCAAGTAAGCACTCTGCTGGGCCTCCTCACTCGGTACCAGCTACAGCCTCTGTTAAGATAGAGCCAGGTTACCCACGCTCTACACCGCCTTCCACCACAAAGGTTTCTGCACCTCATTTACAGTCAGTGATTCCTTCTTCTGCAAGACATTCACCCAGGACTCACGATCATCATATCTCACCATACAGGTAAGGAACTTTAATTTGACAATCTTCCATTTAATCATATGTTTGGTTTAGTTATCAAGAATCCTACCATTTAGATTTGTTGTTTGTTATTTATAAAGGCTGCATTATTCATATGTATTTATTTGGTAAAAGAAATAGTACAAAGATGAGATTTAAGTAGCTGAAATAGTCAGATAAAATTTCTTGTTTTTAATGAAAAAGCTGCTATTCCAGCTTATTTCAATGCTGAAAGATTTTGTGTATAAGCTACTTACAGCTTATAAGCCTAATTATTCTCCAATGATTTATAAAGAGATTTTTTTTATATTCTAAAGTGTACTTGTTTTGGCTCAAAATGTAATGGTAAGACTATAGGAATGCATCTGGCATCACCCACTGTCATTGTCTAGTCAAAATTTGCCAGAAAGGAAGAGTTTTTGAAATGCAATTTCAGTTCAGTTTTGTAGGGATTTCTTGGCAACAGTTCAGACACCATTGACCGTGAGAGGTCATTGAACATGAGTAACCTTTGCTGACTCTCTTACTCATTGCTAACTGCAGCCTCTGATATGATAAAGGCTACCCATGTTCAACACCTTCCACCACATGGTCATGTTGACACAAGTTATTTCTTGTTTGTGCTAAAGAATACAGTAACCCCAACCATATTATCACTTTAGACCAAAAGGTTTGCTTTTCCCAAAGCTTCATTTATTTCAACTGCAGCATGATCATTTGTTTTACTTTATTAATTTATGAATATTATGAATGATTGTAGTCCCACAAATTAGGTTAGATTTTACCAACTGAAGCAGTTTTTTATGCACCTCCATATCCATCTTGTGGAAGGTAGTGCATGAGTATAGGGCCATAGGATCTAGGCCCTAAAAGGATTAATTAACAGTACATTTGGGTATTTGCAAAATTAATACATATTGTGTCCATTACTAGCAAATTTAGGATATTTGCTCAATGTGTCTAGTATGTAGATTAGTGTAAATTACTCTCTATATACTACTCAATAAGTTGGCAAGTGAACAGTGTTCAAGAAAGTGACCATAAGACTGACTGCATGCACTACTTTTAATTTGATAACCATCTGTGTATATTCTAAACCAGGCTACCACAGTGTCCATTAGTCTATTTGCATTGCAAGCTGCTCCATAAATGTTCTTAACTATATTCATGCTATCATAGTGGGTTATAAATCCACTTAGACTTGTAACTGCATATTTGCATTATTCAAACACATTATTTAATTCTCTCCTAACTTTATTTCTAATCAGACAAAATTAAATTGAGTACAGTCAGCAGAGACAATTTCTGAAAAGAGTGCAGTAATGTATTATAATAAGACTGTTCACATGGTATAAAGATTAACGTAACATTATTGTAAAAAATAATAGTAGGACAAATAAATTAATATATATGGCAGTTCTGCTGTAGACAGGTGCTGACGAGAGGTCTTTTTTCATATTTTGTTTTGTCAGTCTCGAGCATGGATTTGCAAGATGGATTTGCAAAAATCTTAAGTTAATTTTAAGCCAGCCCATTATGCTATGCATATAATGGCTTTGGCATGCTGCTCTTACCTGTATTTTTTTGTACCTCTGTATGTATGCTCAAATTACTAAATAAATAAATAAATAAATTCTTAAATCGTATCTGGATTCAAAGCTTAATCCAGTGAGGATGCCAACAAGAGTGAAATTATTAGAGATCTTCAGTAATTAAATTTTAAAACTAAATGAGTGATAAATTTTATTTGTAAAATTTGAATTATATAAAGAGAGTTCCAACAGACTTAGATATACATGCATATATATTATATTTAATGCAACTACAAATAGTATATACATAGCAATTAGGGATGGGACAACACCAAAATTTTTGCTGATACCGACTCTTTCTATATTTTTTAAATTGTAGTGACTATGTTCATTATATAAGGGAATGCTTATTGCACAAGGGGTATTAAATAATACAGGAAGTTTAAATAACCTAATTTCTCTCAGATGATAATGTCATTCATTACTCATTACTTGGCCTGTTGTGTTACTGGTTGTCAAAGGCACTTATTGATAGTGTGTACTCTCCTGTGTGCCCACAATGCTCAGTACTACATGAGCTAAGAGCAACTTTACTACTGAATATTTACAGTGCAATCCATTGTATATTAACATACTGTTATAGTGAAACTATTGTACTTATTCATAATAATAAATACAGCCTCTCCTCACTTAGCGATGTATGTACTCGTTTACTGACCGCTCAGACTTGTGACCAGCTCTCCAACCAGTATGCAAACCTAAATAATGAATATTAGAGCGATTTCCTCTATTGTGTTTATTACAATATACGGTACACTACTATATAAACATTTAGAAATATATTAGAAATGTTATAAATGGTGCAAAGGTGACATTAAAAAAATATCTAAAGATGGTTGACACAAACCCACTACCAGTATAGTATGCTCCTTGCTTTAACGACCAATTCGCTTACCACCCTACTCTTAGGAATTGAACCCCGTCGTTAAGTGAGGAGAGGCTGTACTGTACAGTACATTCTTCACTAAAATTTTGAAATTATTTATTTAATCCCTAGAGTAAACTCATTCTTGAGTATACACTGAAAGGCTAGTTTTACTAAGTAATGCTCTGATTTTCTCTTTCACAGTTCAGCGAGTTCAGTTGTGAGTAGCGGGCAGTCAATACCTTCATTATCACGACCTTGGCCTAGGTATGTTGCTCTTCTTGTGCATTATTTCCATTTTTTTTTTTTTTAAGTTTATTATAATTTTGAGGTAATAAAGGAAAATACAGGTAAACTAATTTTAGTGTAATTGATTATCATTGTTGTCATTATAGTTTAGTTTAGTAATTTTATCATTGTCATTGATAAGTGTATGTCTAGAGACATACAATATAATAATACTGTAACGGTAATATTGATTATTATTATAATGTGAAATTTCTGTGGTAATTTATAATATTTTTAGTAAAAGTAAAAATAACGTAATAACTTTTCTTACATAATATTGATTTTTGAATGAATAGGCAGTACAGTGGACCCCCACTTTACGATCACCTCCCAATGCGACCAATTGTGTAAGTGTATTTATGTAAGTGCGTTTGTACGTGTATGTTTGGGGGTCTGAAATGGACTAATCTAATTCACAATATTCCTTATGGGAACAAATTCGGTCAGTACTGGCACTTGAACATACTTCTGGAATGAAAAAATATCGTAAACCGGGGGTCCACTGTATTTCAGAATACTGTACTGTACTATATTAAATTCTACTATTCTGATTGCTACTTGTAAAGATCAATGATTAATTTACATGTGACCTTTGTTGTTTTAATTTCAGCCCAGTATCCAGTTTAGCATCAAGCAGTTCAGCCAGATTATCATCCTTGAGTCGACCGCCACTTCCCTTGCCCTCCTTTCCCCTTGCTCCTCCGCCAGTTTCTGCTCCCTTGCCGCCTACGGGCATGTTCGCACCACCTGTTCCATCACTCGCAACAACTTACCTCCTCTTCCCTTATACCTCCTACACATCTGACACCTGATCCCCTTGGTAAGTTAGTGTCATAAATTATTGTCATTATAACCACTTGCATTGAAAACATTGTTTTAGGGAAGGTAACCAACTTACCAATTTAGGTTCAGTAGTTAGGGTATTTTGCCTACTTCAGAGAGGTGGGTTCTATTAAATATGTTAAATGCAGTGTACAGTACAGTTCTGTACTTACCTATAATTACAGGCACACATTTTTAGGTGTAAAATAAAGCACCTAGTTTTACATATAAAAAATGGTAAAAACTACTTTGAAATGAATTAAATAAAATAGTCGTCCTCGAAAGGGTTGGAGAGAGGGGGTAAAGGAGGTTTTGTGGGCAAGGGGCTTGGACTTCCAGCAAGCGTGCGTGAGCGTGTTAGATAGGAGTGAATGGAGACGAATGGTACTTGGGACCTGACGATCTGTTGGAGTGTGAGCAGGGTAATATTTAGTGAAGGGATTCAGGGAAACCGGTTATTTTCATATAGTCGGACTTGAGTCCTGGAAATGGGAAGTACAATGCCTGCACTTTAAAGGAGGGGTTTGGGATATTGGCAGTGTGGAGGGATATGTTGTGTATCTTTATATGTGTATGCTTCTAGACTGTTGTATTCTGAGCACCTCTGCAAAAACAGTGATAATGTGCGAGTGTGGTGAAAGTGTTGAATGATGATGAAAGTATTTTCTTTTTGGGGATTTTCTTTCTTTTTTGGGTCACCCTGCCTCGGTGGGAGACGGCCGACTTGTTGAAAAAAAAAAAAAAAAAAAGTTAGTTTTGAAATTAGAAGTAAAGTATATACTTGTTCTATCAGACTTTGAAAATATCATACAGGACAAAATCCGCTGGGTCATTTTGATTTGGAAACTAAGGACAAAGTCCATTACCTAAAGGATTGTCCATTATTGGTATGATCACAGTGAAACAAACTATGGTCTGTCCACCACAATTTCCATTACCAGCCAATTGCTATCCCCTACTAGTCTGTTAAATTGAGGTTTTACTGTATAAATTGTATAAGCATCACTGTGTATGATGGTGATAAAAGTATTTTTTCTTTTTTGGGTCACCCTGCCTTTGTAGGAAACAGCTGATGTGTTAATATAATAAAAAATAATAATCACTGTATAGTAAAGTTTTAATTTAACAGAATAATAAAGGGAAGCAGGTGGCCAGTAATGATGAGTGGGGTGGATACAGATGAGATTGTTCTGCCATGACTGTAACAGCAACAGTCAGTTCCTTAATCAACAGATCCAGTGGATTCCCCTCCCCCCCCCCTATTTCCAAAGTTAGTTTAATTGAGATCTCTTAAAGTGAGGGTGTACTGTACAGAAAATTTATTTATTCTTATTGATCATGTGAATACACACACAATACAGCATTTAGTCTTGCATTTAGTATAATGTCAAAAAAGGTACAGTAATTTCCTTCTGCACTTAATATATGTAGATAAAAATATGTTGTATGGGAAATGTTGAGTGAATGCGTGGGGAGTTTTGAATCAAGTGTGAGAGTAATGGTGGTTGGGGATTTCAATGTTAAAGTGGGTAAAAATGTTATGGAGGGAGTAGTAGGTAAATTTGGGGTGCCAGGGGTAAATGTAAATGGGGAGCCTTTAATTGAGCTATGTGTAGAAAGAAATTTGGTAATAAGTAATACATATTTTTATGAAAAAGAGGATAAATAAATATACAAGGTATGATGTAGCACGTAATGAAAGTAGTTTGTTAGATTATGTATTGGTGGATAAAAGGTTGATGGGTAGGCTCCAGGATGTACATGTTTACAGAGGGGCAACTGATATATCGGATCATTATTTAGTTGTAGCTACAGTTAGAGTAAGAGGTAGATGGGAAAAGAGGAAGGTGGCAACAACAAGTAAGAGGGAGGTGAAAGTGTATAAACTAAGGGAGGAGGAAGTTCGGGTGAGATATAAGCGACTATTGGCAGAAAGGTGGGCTAGTGCAAAGATGAGTAGTGGGGGGGGGGGGGGTTGAAGAGGGTTGGAATAGTTTTTAAAAATGCAGTATTAGAATGTGGGGCAGAAGCTTGTGGCTATAGGAGGGTGGGGGCAGGAGGAAAGAGGAGTGATTGGTGGAATGATGAAGTAAAGGGTGTGATAAAAGAGAAAAAGGTAGCTTATGAGAGGTTTTTACAAAGCAGAAGTGTTATAAGAAGAGCAGAGTATATGGAGAGTAAAAGAAAGGTGAAGAGAATGGTGAGAGAGTGCAAAAGGAGAGCAGATGATAGAGTGGGAGAGGCACTGTCAAGAAATTTTAATGAAAATAAGAAAAAAATTTGGAGTGAGTTAAACAAGTTAAGAAAGCCTTGGGAAAGTATGGATTTGTCAGTTAAAAACAGAGTAGGGGAGTTAGTAGATGGGGAGATGGAGGTATTAGGTAGATGGCGAGAATATTTTGAGGAACTTTTAAATGTTGAGGAAGAAAGGGAGGCGGTAATTTCATGCACTGGCCAGGGAGGTGTACCATCTTTTAGGAGTGAAGAAGAGCAGAATGTAAGTGTGGTGGAGGTACGTGAGGCATTACATAGAATAAAAGGGGGTAAAGCATCTGGAACTGATGGGATCATGACAGAAATGTTAAAAGCAGGGGGGATATAGTGTTGGAGTGGTTGGTACTTTTGTTTAATAAATGTATGAAAGAGGGGAAGGTACCTAGGGATTGGCGGAGAGCATGTATAATCCCTTTATATAAAGGGAAAGGGGACAAAAGAGATTGTAAAAATTATAGAGGAATAAGTTTACTGAGTATACCAGGAAAAGTATACGGTAGGGTTATAATTGAAAGAATTAGAGGTAAGACAGAATGTAGGTTTGCGGATGAGCAAGGAGGTTTCAGAGTGGGTAGGGGATGTGTAGATCAAGTGTTTACATTGAAGCATATATGTGAACAGTATTTAGATAAAGGTAGGGAAGTTTTTATTGCATTTATGGATTTAGAAAAGGCATATGATAGAGTGGATAGAGGAGCAATGTAGCAGATGTTGCAAGTATATGGAATAGGTGGTAAGTTACTAAATGCTGTTAAGAGTTTTTATGAGGATAGTGAGGCTCAGGTTAGGGTGTGTAGAAGAGAGGGAGAATACTTCCCGGTAAAAGTAGGTCTTAGACAGGGATGTGTAATGTCACCATGGTTGTTTAATATATTTATAGATGGGGGTTGTAAAAGAAGTAAATGCTAGGGTGTTCGGGAGAGGGGTGGGATTAAATTATGGGAATCAATTCAAAATGGGAATTGACACAGTTACTTTTTGCTGATGATACTGTGCTTATGGGAGATTCTAAAGAAAAATTGCAAAGGTTAGTGGATGAGTTTTGGAATGTGTGTAAAGGTAGAAAGTTGAAAGTGAACATAGAAAAGAGTAAGGTGATGAGGGTATCAAATGATTTAGATAAAGAAAAATTGAATATCAAATTGGGGAGGAGGAGTATGGAAGAAGTGAATGTTTTCAGATACTTGGGAGTTGACGTGTCGGCGGATGGATTTATGAAGGATGAGGTTAATCATAGAATTGATGAGGAAAAAAAGGTGAGTGGTGCGTTGAGGTATATGTGGAGTCAAAAAATGCTATCTATGAAGGCAAAGAAGGGAATGTATGAAAGTATAGTGGTACCAATACTCTGATATGGATGTGAAGCTTGGGTGGTAAATGCAGCAGCGAGGAGACGGTTGGAGGCAGTGGAGATGTCCTGTCTTAGGGCAATGTGTGGTGTAAATATTATGCAGAAAATTCGGAGTGTGGAAATTAGGAGAAGGTGTGGAGTTAATAAAAGCATTAGTCAGAGGGTAGAAGAGGGGTTGTTGAGGTGGTTTGGTCATTTAGAGAGAATGGATCAAAGTAGAATGACATGGAAAGCATATAAATCTATAGGGGAAGGAAGGAGGGGTAGGGGTCGTCCTCGAAAGGGTTGGAGAGAGGAGGTAAAGGAGGTTTTGTGGGCGAGGGGCTTGGACTTCCAGCAAGGGTGCGTGAGCGTGTTAGATAGGAGTGAATGGAGATGAATGATACTTGGGACCTGACGATCTGTTGGAGTGTGAGCAGGGTAATATTTAGTGAAGGGATTCAGGGAAACCCGTTATTTTCATATAGTCGGACTTGAGTCCTGGAAATGGGAAGTACAATGCTTGCACTTTAAAGGAGGGGTTTGGGATATTGGCAGTTTGGAAGGATATGTTGTGTATCTTTATACGTATATGCTTCTAAACTGTTGTATTCTGAGCACCTCCGCAAAAACAGTGATAATGTGTGAGTGTGGTGAAAGTGTTGAATGATGATGAAAGTATTTTCTTTTTGGGGATTTTCTTTCTTTTTTGGGTCACCCTGCCTCGGTGGGAGACAGCCGACTTGTTGAAAAAAAAAAAAAAAATGTTTGACTCCCAAGTTGTCAAGCATTTTGCATTTATTTGCAGTATTATTCAACAAGATGTTAAGATTTAGATATCCAGTATTTGTCTTTATTGTTTACAGGTGCAATAGAGATATACTAGCCATTATTTATCTTTGCAGGCCAAGCAGATCTACTGCGTAGAGAGCTGGACTCTCGATTTTTGGCCCAACAGGAACGCACGTTGGGTCTTGGCCCTGCAAGTCTAGGGGGTTTAGGCGCTCCTCCAGCCTTTTTACGTGCTGAAATGCACCACCATCAACACCAGCATACGCATGTTCATCAACATCTCCTGCCTCACATGCCTCCTCCACCACTTCCACCACCTGCTGCCTCCAGTCTCTTCTCACATTCAGCATCTCCCTCAATGGTAAGCCCAAATGTTGATGATAAAAAATATTGTCATTTACCATATTATCCATAATATAAGGCTTAATATATTTTTTCATGAAAAAATAAGTCCAAAAAAACACCAGGTACATATACTCTTCTGCTGCCACATATTACAAGGAATGTAATATGTGGTAGCAGTAGGTGCATCTTATATGACAAAAAATGTGGATGACTGTGAGTCTTGTGTTGATGGGGATGATGCTTACTCTTAGGTTAAACTTTGCTCAGTAAGGCTTTGCCATGCTAAACATATTTGTTTTACTCTTAAGTTCCTAAAATCTAGGAATTAATAAACCAAAAAATTATTAACCCTTAAACTGCTTGTGCACGTAGTGCTCCAACCTTGATTTTCTCCATAAGAAAGCATGTAAAAAACGTAGATCTACGTTCAGACAGTTTAAGGGTTAAAGATGAAAAATTCATTTATGGTATTTTTTCAACGAACCGGCCATAAGAGAAAGTTGCTTGTTTACTGATTCGGTGTTTGTCAGGTGAATCTTCCTTATTTGTCTAGAGGTTTTTGTGTTATTTAACATATGTATATTAATCTTGAGCATATGACTTGAATAAAATAATACTGAGAAAAAGATTATTTCCCCTGAAGTTTTCATAATGCCTTAAACAATTTGTTTACTGTATATAGAAACTCCCTTTATATGTCAGTACTGTATAAATTTTGATTAGAGGCTGAAATTTATAAGTAAATTAAAGTTTTTTTAAGATTGAAAGAATGAAAAAAATAACTTTAAATTATTAATGATTTTTCCTTATTAATAAAGTCAACATGTCTACGACAAAAATGTACAAACAGTAGGGATTGTATTCATTCATCCTAAAGTTGGTACCAGGTTTTAATAAATTCTGAAGGTTAAATAAGAATTAAGGCTGTCCTCTGAATCATTTATATATATATTTATCACATCACTGATCATTTTGCTGTATTATACAGTTCAAGGAAGTGAGCAAAGTGGGTCTGGACAGCAGTTTGTACCGGCCAGGAGGTGGCCTAGCAAGCAGCTATCCTCCTGGCCTCACCCCTCTAGTGCATCCTCCTACCTCAACCTTTGCTCCGCCATCTCACCTGACCTCTGTGGCACCTAAGGTGTGTTATACAACAATAAGCTCATAGCTATAGTATATCTTAAGTCACTGGTCTCTTCCAGGAGGTTCCTTGATGCTAGTGAAGGCTCTTGATTTAAAGAATTAGAGGAACCCTTGGGAAAATAAAAACATAAGCAGTATAATGTGATCCTTTGTTGACAACGTTTTGCCCACACAGTGGGCTCTATCAAGTCTCAAACAGATTTGCCTGGGTGAAAGGTACATGAGTATTTATAGGATGGAGTCAGGTGGAGAATGCTTGGTAGGTTGGATCTGTTGAGGACCTGCACGGGACTGGCGGGTGCTTATATAGTTATGTGGGATAACGATGAAGTTTCTTGGCAAGGGGTTCAGCTATGTTATAGAAGCCGTTATTTTGGTTGAAGTTGTTGGATATACAGATAAGCAATGATTCCAGAATTGTGTGGTATCGAGTGTTTTCTTCTTTGGTGATAAGTCTTGCATTTCTGTAGTTGATTAAGTGGTTGTGTGAATTTCGGTGTTGAACACAGGCATTCCTTAAATTGTCTGATCTGCCTGCGCAATGCCTGTGTTCAACACCGAAATTCACACAACCATTTAATCAATTACAGAAATGAAAGATTTATCGCCAGAGAAGAAAACAGTCAATACCGCAGAAGCCTGGAATCATCACTTATCTGTATATCCAACAACTTCAACCAAAACAATGGCTTCTATAACATAGCTAACCCCTTGCCAAGAAACTTCTTCGTTATCCCACATAACTACATATGCATCTGCCAGTCCCGTGCAGGTCCTTATCAGATCCAACCTACCCAGCATTCTCCACCTGACTCCATCCTATAAATACTCACATACCTTTCACCCAGGTAGCTCTGTTTGTGACTTGATAAAGCCCACTGTGTGGGCGAAACGTTGTCAGTAAAGGATCACATTATACTGCTTATGTGTATTTTTCCATTGTGTCGGTATTTTCTATGATTCATTTTCACAGAGGAACCCTTCCTTGTTTTGGGGTATTAAATGTGCTTACCTCCTTATGTGCTATATATCCTTACAGGTCATATACCCATGAATATAATAATAATGTCTGCAATAAGTGCTTTGCACTTATAAATATAGCAGCTAAAGCATCTAAACTCTTGAACAATTCAGTTTGTTCAGTTGAAAATCAAGTGATCATTAAAATATTTGTAAAATATACATTATTCCAATCATTAGAATTATTTGTTAATATAAAATTAAGAATATTTAATAGAACCAAAGAGAAGTGTATTTCAGACAAAGTTGGGTAACATCTTTTGTGGAAGGGTTTTGGCTGTAGTAATACCTTTAATATTAACTCAGTAATGCATTTATAAATGTGAAAGCTGTCAGAGAAAAGAATTTAATGGTACTGTAGAGTATTAGTGTATCAATTTATAATGGGTTTGATTTACAAGTTATTTGTAAAAAGATTAAGATTATTAAAGTTAAAATTACAGTGGACCCCCGATAAGCGATATTTTTTCATTCCAGAAGTATGTTCAGGTGCCAGTACTGACCGAATTTGTTCCCATAAGGAATATTGTGAAGTAGATTAGTCCATTTCAGACCCCCAAACATACATGTACAAACGCACTTATATAAATACACTTACATAATTGGTCACATTAGGAGGTGATCGTTAAGCGGGGGTCCACTGTACATGTGTGGATTGTTCAGAGAAAACAGAAGTTGTAAGAAAATTCCAGAAAATAGAAACTGAGTGAAAATATAGCTAGTCTGGGAATGAACTTTTATCTTATAAATTCTGAGGTTTGACAGTCTCCTAATTGGTGCGGAGATGTGATAAATTGTAAAAGTAAAAAATATTTTTATTATTATTTTTACTAGCACACTGGCCAATTCCCACCAAGGCAGGGTGGCCCGAAAAAGAAAAAACTTTCACCATCATTCACTCCATCACTGTCTTGCCAGAAGGGTGCTTTACACTACAGTTTTTAAACTGCATCATTAACACCCCTCCTTTAGAGTGCAGGCACTGTACTTCCCATCTCCAGGACTCAAGTCCGGCCTGCCGGTTTCCCTGAATCCCTTCATAAATGTTACTTTGCTCACACTCCAACAGCACATCAAGTATTAAAAACCATTTGTCTCCATTCACTCCTATCAAACACGCTCACGCATGCCCGCTGGAAGTCCAAGCCCCTCGCACACAAAACCTCCTTTACCCCCTCCCTCCAACCTTTCCTAGGCCGACCCCTACCCCGCCTTCCTTCCACTACAGACTGATACACTCTTGAAGTCATTCTGTTTTGCTCCATTCTCTCTACATGTCCGAACCACCTCAACAACCCTTCCTCAGCCCTCTGGACAACAGTTTTGGCAATCCCGCACCTCCTCCTAACTTCCAAAGTACGAATTCTCTGCATTATATTCACACCACACATTGCCCTCAGACATGACATTTCCACTGCCTCCAGCCTTCTCCTCGCTGCAACATTCATCACCCATGCTTCACACCCATATAAGAGCATTGGTAAAACTATACTCTCATACATTCTCCTCTTTTCCTCCAAGTACAAAGTTCTTTGTCTCCACAGACTCCTAAGTGCACCACTCACCCTTTTCCCCTCATCAATTCCATGATTCACCTCATCTTTCATAGACCCATCCACTGACACGTCCACCCCCAGATATCTGAATACATTCACCTCCTCCATACTCTCTCCCTCCAATCTGATATCCAATCTTTCATCACCTAATCTTTTTGTTATCCTCATTACCTTACTCTTTCCTGTATTCACTTTTAATTTTCTTCTTTTACATACCCTACCAAATTCATCTACCAACCTCTGCAACTTCTCGTCAGAATCTCCCAAGAGCACAGTGTCATCAGCAAAGAGCAACTGTGACAACTCCCACTTTATGTGCGATTCTTTATCTTTTAACTCCACGCCTCTTGCCAAGACCCTCGCATTTACTTCTCTTACAACCCCATCTATAAATATATTAAACAACCATGGTGACATCACACATCCTTGTCTAAGGCCTACTTTTACTGGGAAATAATCTCCCTCTTCCCTACCACATCACTCTAACTTGAGCCTCACTATCCTCGTAAAAACTCTTCACTGCTTTCAGTAACCTACCTCCTACACCATACACCTGCAACATCTGCCACATTGCCCCCCTATCCACCCTGTCATACGCCTTTTCCAAATCCATAAGTGCCACAAAAACCTCTTTAGCCTTATCTAAATACTGTTCACTTATATGTTTCACTGTAAACACCTGGTCCACACACCCCCTACCTTTCCTAAAGCCTCCTTGTTCATCTGCTATCCTATTCTCCGTCTTACTCTTAATTCTTTCAATAATAACTCTACCATACACTTTACCAGGTATATTCAATAGACTTCTTCTTCTTTCAACAAACCGGCCATATCCCACCGAGGCAGGGTGGCCCAAGAAGAAAAACAAAAGTTTCTCTTTTTAAATTTAGTAATTTATACGGGAGAAGGGGTTACTAGCCCCTTGCTCCCGGCATTTTAGTCGCCTCTTACAACACGCATGGCTTACAGAGGAAGAATTCTGTTCCACTTCCCCATGGAGAACTCAACAGACTTATCCCTCTATAATTTTTGCACTCTTGTCCCCTTTGCCTTTATACAAAGGAACTATGTATAAATATATATATAAATATATTTCTCCATGGAGAAGTGGAACAGAATTCTTCCTCCGTAAGCCATGCGTGTTGTAAGAGGTGAGTAAAATGCCGGGAGCAAGGGCCTAGTAACCCCCTCTCCTGTATAAATTACTAAATTTAAAAAGAGAAACTTTTGTTTTTCTTTTTGGGCCACCCTGCCTTGGTGGGATACGGCCGGTTTGTTGGAAAAAAAAATATATGTATTTCTAAGAACAGGGCATCCCTATAACATTAGCTACTATCATTGATGCATATTTTTAGTGGGAACTCTTGTTCCTCGAGAGGTATTTCATGCAATCATTTGTCAGAGCATTGTGTATGCTGGTTTGGTTATAAAAGTTAAGAAATACTGTTCTTACTCTTTAAAGTAGGTTGGAGTGGTGTAAATAGGAGCAGTGAAGATAAGGACTAATTCAGTAAAAGTATACATATCACAGAGATAAACATTTAAAAAAAAAAAAAAAAGAGTTCCTGAGTGTGGACAGGTATTGCCTGTCTGTTAATTGTAAAGCTTCCATTCTTGCAACCAAGGGTGTAACTTAGGCAGTCTTATGTCCCGTACTTTAGTTTAAAATCTAAAAGTTTTGCTTCATTTGCTTATCCCTATATTTTGTATAGCTTACATCTTTCCATTTGTCTCTAAGATATAAAATTTTTATTAATGATATGCTCATTCTCCCTATTCACAACCATAAATAAAAACAAAAAGCAAGCATTACTAATATAGTTTGTTTAAAAAAATAATGTATTTCACAAGATAGGGCTTGCATAGATTGTTTATGGAGTATTTGCAAAATATTGGCTCCTCTGTCATAGCACTTCTGGCAAGACATGTTACAGGAACATTATTATAAATACTGTAATAATAATAATTAATAATAATAGGCTCCATGGGAAAGTGGAACAGAATTATTCTTCTGTAAGCCATGCGTGTCATAAGAGGTGACTAAAATGCTGGGAGCAAGGGGCTAGTAACCCCTTTTCCTGTATACGTTACTACAGTTAAAAAGAGAAACCTTCGTTTTTCTTTTTGGGCCACCCTGCTTCAGTGGGATGCGGCTGGTGTATTGAAAGACTGATAATAAATAATAATAAAATAATAATAATAACAGTACCAGTAATGTATTAGATGTTAGTAATAATGTAGTGGTTATTTAATTGAATTTTAAAACCATATAGAAAATATTGCTATATTGTTACTTTTATCATTTGTATCCTCAAAGAAACTTTTTCATTGTAACATACATGTAATGGTCTGATTTCTAAAAAAGTAATAGAGGAAGACTCCATACTTGGATTCTAAAATAGGTATCACAGAACCCATGGGATTAGGGATCAAATCAACAATTGAAAGGTTAAGAAGACACAAGACTGTAGAGCTAATGCTCAACTCCCATGAGCACAAACAAATGACATACATGTGCAGACAGAATAAATTAAACAAGACAAAATGCTATTAAATAATTTAAGAACCTCTTGTGTTAATATAATTTATATAAGTGTTATTCATAAAACCATTTTACATTCATGTTGATAAACTAAAAGTCCTGTCTTTAAGACCCCCTATTTTTCCACAGATTGGTGAACCAAGTCAACGCAAACCAGTGGTTAGTTTTTAATTTTTCCAGTTTCTCAAAGGTTTTATTAAATATACACAAACATCATAAGTTCAGTCGTTTCTCCAGTATTTACAGAAATTAATATTAAATTTCTCTTAGTCAAAAAAATCTCATAATGTTTTATGCTTTTTATACTTATTCATATGTGATATTTCTTTCTTGTAGAAGACGGGTCGTTGGAATGCAATGCATGTGCGCATTGCTTGGGAGATCTATTACCACCAGCAAAACAGACACCAGAGAAACCTAGTGCTAAACTTGGAGGTCCAGATCCATTTCGACCTCCATCAGGACCTGGTGTGGGAGGTCCTGCCCCTGGTGCACCAATATTTCCAACTTTGCCACGACCTCCTGATTTGGGGCCATCTTTACTGGGTGGACCAGGGCCTTCCCACCGCTATGAGTCTCCTTTATTAAGCCATGCTCACCTCACACCCTCGGTGCCTGGTCTTAGTGGCACGAGGTACCCTGGTGGGGCACCTGGACCTCCCTCTTCAGCAGCAGCAGCAGCAGCAGCAGCAGCAGCAGCTGCAGCAGCATTCCATCATGGTGGTGTTACTCCAACATCTATACCAGGCCCCCCACCTGGTTCAATGTTCTCAAGAGAAACATTACCACCAGGACTAACTGTACCACAACCCACACCTCATGATGCTTGGAGGTAAGTCTACTCTTCATGTTTTTTAATAATCTAAATAGTAAAGGAATACACCACAACTGCAATTTTAGTATTGGAAGTGGCTTTGATTTAAGCGATTTATTTTTCAATCATATTTGTTTTAAGTGGACACTAAAAGAAACAGTTGTTACTCATTATCTTAAGTAAAAATGATAATTATAATTAAATCTAGAATTTTAATTAATGCTAATATTCACAAAAATTATATGAAAATATTTCTTTATATACAAATGAGCCTTCTCTATATAAATTATTTTACATATTCTTTTGCAATTTACACTAGGTAGATAAAAGATTGAGAAAAAACTTAGTTGTGCCTCATATATAGCTACTTTGTAGTGAAACTGTTTCTCTTAAGGATTTCTTGTGCTTCCTTCCCTCCCTCTTGAAGGGGTGTCCAGAGTAGACAAATTTTCAGACAGCTCAAGAAGAATATAACATAGGCTGTTCAATTTTGCTTTCAGAGGATCTTTCCTTTGTAATTCTTTCCCCTTAACTTTCTTTGATGCTGGTTGTTTACCAGTCAGTAGCCAATTTTTACTTCTTTTACACAAATTTCTTTGCAGTCCTTTCCATCCAATTCCTTATTTCTAAACCGTAGTAAATAAATTATCTTGACCTTATTTTTATCAACCTAACTTTCATCTTAGGATATCCTCTGCCATTGTGCATCATCATATAGTATGTTATGAACCTTGGTAATTGATACCACAAAGTGGTTTAAAAATACATTAGCAAACACTAGGATATATTTATAAGAAAACATTTCAGTCCTGGGACCTTTATCACTTATGTTAGAAGTGATGAAGGTTCCAGAGCCAAAACATTTTCAAATAAATGGTTAGAAGTGATCAGGTACAGATATGTCTAATAAATATGACCTAGTTCAAAGCCCACCTGTTCCATGGTTTATTTACAATCGTGTTATTACAATTTCGTGAATCATGTCCTAGTGTTTGCTCGCATGTCTTTAAACCATCTTCATACAGCTCAAAATAAAAGGATTGTCTGATATGTTGTGTATGTTCATCATACATATGCATTATTTGTACTTCAGTCATAATAGGCTGCATTAAGGTCACAATAGGCTACTTATTGGTGTAGAGTATTTTATAATTTGATTTATCGAATTATGTGGCTCAACTTTTTAAAGTGCTAAAGTGATGAGTGGAATTTACATTTTTTTTTTATTTCAGCATTGCAAACAATAACCAGTTCTAAAATACAGGTGATGAAATAAAATGTCTATCTTCCCTTAAGCTGTATTGAATAAACATTTTTTTAATATAGCCTTATCTGTTTTCAAGTGTAACATAATAAAACAGATATAATTAGTTGCTACCCTTGATTTTGATGTCGGTATATATATATATATACTACCGTAATCTGTTCCAGAAGGTCGGCCTAAATTCGAAGCAATATTTCCCATAAGAGTTAACGTAAATACAATTAATCCGTTCCAGGAGGAGGACAGTTTGTTTGGAGGCAGGACATGATACTCCTTCAATATGACACTAATATCAACTCTACAGCTTATTTATCTATCACAATTCATCTCAAGTTCCAGTATCGATTAGCCACATTCTGTTAGACTGCCCTCTCTATCAACGAGCACGCAGAATTTACCTCCAACGTCGTCTTCGTTCTACTACTCTCTCTTTACCTTCCCTTCTTGCTGATGGACCCTTCTTTAATCCTGACTCTCTCATTGACTTCTTGACAACGACTGATTTACTCCACAAACTCTGATGATACTTTTCGCTCTCCCCTCAGCCCTTTCTAGTTCAGTCTCTTGCTGCCCTTTACCCTTTCACCATCCACTACCCCGCTGTTATCCGTAACCTATTACTCATCCATCTCCCTTTTGCCACCTGATGCCCTCGCTTCCTTCCTGCCCTGCAGCGCTGTATAGTCCTTGTGGCTTAGTGCTTCTTTTTGATCATAATAATCTAGAATGAATAAAATATGCACGTATGTCATTACATATGTGGTGGCGGGGCAGGATGGTGTCACAGGCATTCTTGCTCCAGCTATGAAAACGTCTTCCCACTCTTTCCTCCTTCAGACCTGTTAGTATAAGAGAAAACGGAGTTTGTGAGGCTAACTGCATTAGATCACTTCTTTCATAAGAAATGAACAGCTGTATGTACACCATTTACATACCTTGCAGAAGATAGGCAGAGAGGCTTATGCTGTCAGGAGTTTATTTCGTTTCTTCCTTTTCCTATTGCCTAATCGCTTAATTGCTACACTCTTAATGCTACACTTTGTCACTTAACTGAACAGCTTTAAACTCCACGTCTTGCACCTGTGCTGGCGTGCAGGTACACGTTAAAATCACAAAGTGTGTTATTAGTCTTGAAGATGTCATGGTAATTTTATTTATTATTATCACACTGGCTGATTCCCACCAAGGCAGGGTGGCCCGAAAAAGAAAAACTTTCACCATCATTCACTCCATCACTGTCTTGCCAGAAGGGTGCTTTACACTACAGTTTTTAAACTGCAACATTAACACCCCTCCTTCAGAGTGCAGGCACTGTACTTCCCATCTCCAGGACTCAAGTCCGGCCTGCCGGTTTCCCTGAACCCCTTCATAAATGTTACTTTGCTCACACTCCAATGGCACGTCAAGTATTAAAAACCATTTGTCTTCATTCACTCCTATCAAACACGCTCACTCATGCCTGCTGGAAGTCCAAGCCCCTCGCACACAAAACCTCCTTTACCCCCTCTCTCCAACCTTTCCTAGGCCGACCCCTACCCCGCCTTCCTTCCACTACAGACTGATACACTCTTGAAGTCATTCTGTTTCACTCCATTCTCTCTACATGTCCAAACCACCTCAACAACCCTTCCTCAGCCCTCTGGACAACAGTTTTGGAAAATCCCGCACCCCCTCCAAACTTCCAAACTACGAATTCTCTGCATTATTCACACCACACATTGCTCTCAGACATGACATCTCCATTTGCCTCCAGCCTTCTCCTCGCTGCAACATTCATCACCCATGCTTCACACCCCATATAAAGCGTTGGTAAAACTATACTCTCGTACATTCCCCTCTTTGCCTCCAAGGACAAAGTTCTTTGTCTCCACAGACTCCTAATTTGCACCACTCACTCTTTTCCCCTCATCAATTCTATGATTCACCTCATCTTTCATAACCCATCCGCTGACACGTCCACTCCCAAATATTTGAATACATTCACCTCCTCCATACTCTCTCCCTCCAATCTGATATCAATCTCTCATCACCTAATCTTTTTGTTATCCTCATAACCTTACTCTTTCCTGTATTCACCTTTAATTTTCTTCTTTTGCACACCCAAACCAAATTCATCCACCAATCTCTGAAACTTCTCTTCAGAATCTCCCAAGAGCACAGTGTCATCAGCAAAGAGCATCTGTGACAACTCCCACTTTTTTGTGTGATTCTTTATCTTTTAACTCCACGCCCCTTGCCCAAAACCCTCGCATTTACTTCTCTTACAACCCCATCTATAAATATATTAACAACCACGGTGACATCACACAACCTTGTCTAAGGCCTACTTTTACTGGGAAATAATTTCCCTCTTTCCTACTTTACTCTAACTTGAGCCTCACTATCCTCTTTAAAAACTCTTCACTGCTTTCAGTAACCTACCTCCTACACCATACACTTGAAACATCTGCCACATTGCCTCCCTATCCACCCTGCCCATACGCCTTTTCCAAATCCATAAATGCCACAAAGACCTCTTTACCCTTTCTAAATACTGTTTCACTTATGTGTTTCACTGTAAACACCTGGTCCACACACCCCTACCTTTCCTAAAGCCTCCTTGTTCATCTGCTATCCTATTCTCCATTTTTACTCTTAATTCTTTCAATAATAACTCTACCATACACTTTACCAGGTATACTCACAGACTTATCCCCCTATAATTTTTGCACTCTCTTTTATCCCCTTTGCCTTTATACAAAGGAACTATGCATGCTCTCTGCCAATCCCTAGGTACCTTACCCTCTTCCATACATTTATTAAATAATTGCACCAACCACTCCAAAACTATATCCCACCTGCTTTTAAACATTTCTATCTTTATCCACCCACCCCGGCTCCCTTTTACCCCTTTCTTTTTTACCTACTGCCTCACGAACTTCCCCCACACTCACAACTGGCTCTTCCTCACTCCTACAAGACGTTATTCCTCCTTGTCCTATACACAAAAATCACAGCTTCCCTATCTTCATCACATTTAACAATTCCTCAAAATATTCCCTCCCTCTTCCCAATACCTCTAACTCTCCATTTAATAACTCTCCTCTCCTATTTTTAACTGACAATCCATTTTTCTCTAGGCTTTCTTAACTTGTTAATCTCACTCAAAACTTTTTCTTATTTTCAACAAAATTTGTTGATAACATCTCACCCCCTCTCTCATTTGCTCTTTTTTACATTTCTTCACCACTCTCTTAACCTCTCTCTTTTTCTCCATATGCTCTTCCCTCCTTGCATCACTTCTACTTTGTAAAAACTTCTCATATGCTAACTTTTTCTCCCTTACTACTCTCTTTACATCTCATTCCACCAATCGCTCCTCTTCCCTCCCGCACCCACTTTCCCGTAACCACAAACTTCTGCTGAACACTCTAACACTACATTTTTAAAACCTACCCCATACCTCTTCGACCCCATTGCCTATGCTTTTCCATTAGCCCATCTATCCTCCAATAGCTGGGTTTATATCTTACCCTAACTGCCTCCTCTTTTTTGTATAAACCTTCACCCTCTCTTCCCTGATGCTTCTATTTTCCTTGTATCCCATCTACCTTTTACTCTCAGTGTAGCTACAACTAGAAAGTGATCTGATATATCTGTGGCCCCTCTATAAACATGTACATCCTGAAGTCTACTCAACAGTCTTTTATCTACCAATACATAATCCAACAAACTACTGTCATTTCGCCCTACATCATATCTTGTATACTTATTTATCCTCTTTTTCTTAAAATATGTATTACTTATAACTAAACCCCTTTCTATACAAAGTTCAATCAAAGGGCTCCCATTATCATTTACACCTGGCACCCCAAACTTACCTACCACACCCTCTCTAAAAGTTTCTCCTACTTTAGCATTCAGGTCCCCTTCCACAATTACTCTCTCACTTGGTTCAAAGGCTCCAAATACATTCACTTAACATCTCCCAAAATCTCTCTCTCTCCTCTACATTCCTCTCTTCTCCAGGTGCATACACACTTATTATGACCCACTTTTCGCATCCAACCTTTACTTTAATCCACATAATTCTTGAATTTACACATTCATATTCTCTTTTCTCCTTCCATAACTGATCATTTAACATTACTGCTACCCCTTCCTTTGCTCTAACTCTCTCAGATACTCCAGATTTAATCCCATTTATTTCCCCCCACTGAAACTCCACTTTGAGGCACATTAAATGTCATGTAAAACATTAATATAGACATTTTGCTTAATCCATCTATGATATTTTTTCAAAATTATATAATAAACATGCTACGTAACATGTAAACATATAAATTAACATAAATATGAGATATTTTTCCAGTCAGCTTGACGGAGTGAACAAAATCCATTCGTGTCCGGGCTGGTAACAACAACAATTAGTTTGTTTACAAAACTCACAAACCTTCTACACTCTCATGTACTCATTCTCTCTCACTCGCTCTCTCGTTTATTCATTTAATCTTGTTTACTTACCTCTCACCCTACATTAAGACTACAAATATTTTAAGGTAAGTAATGAGTGTACTGTATATGCATTTTATTGCTCTAGGGCACTTAAATGCCTAATATATAATGTGGGGTAGAGTGGCCAGATGGGGGTTACATACCTACCACACTTTGATACCTACCTATCTTACTATTCACCTTGCACCCTATATTAAGACCACTAAGACTACAAATATTTTAAGGTAAGTAATGAGTATACACTGCAGCACAGATCCAGTTCCCTAGATCAAACTCCCCTGTCCAAGAAACCTCCCATAAGGGGGAATTTTGCATCCTCTCCTGCCAGAGAGGCAGGCTAATGCATGTAATACGGCCGACTTACGAGGCACCGGCCGAAATACGGAGGAAAATTTCTGCCCAAAAACTGGCCTAAATACGAATCGGCTCGTAAAGCAGCCGAAAAATGAAGTTCCACTGTACAGGTCCTCCATCACAAATCCGTGCATCATTGGGACCTGTAGTGTGCCGGATTACTGAGTTTGCTGGATTACAGAGTGGTTAGGTTAGAATACACTTAATAAAATTAACCAACTTGACTTACACAGTTCAATGAACATCGGCAAAAATCGAACATTTCCGCTACTTTGAGCTCAATTTCAAGGTACTTTTCATTATGAAAGCAATCAAAATCATGTCAATTTCTGTAATATATCTTCCATTCTATCAAATGAGTCCAAAAAATGAGAATACAACCATAAAAACCATACGAAAATATACTGCAAAGAGGCGGCTAATGGCTGAGAAGTGAACTCCCTTATTTATTGTCCGTCTTTTTTATTTTTATTGTACGTTAAGAAGCATCTTTCCATCATACATTGCCCAAGTTTCAATGAGATAGCCCAACAAACAACCGAGAAAAAAAAATATTTACCAAAAATCATATATGGCAAGCCCAAGCCAGGTACTGGAAATAAGTCACTTTGACTTTTCTGGGTTATCCTAGGTTCTCTATACATACACTGCTATGTATGATAATCTTGATAATCTATGTAACTGTATTTATGTATACCTGAATAAACTTATTTGCTTCTAGTCTGTCAACTGAGTACAAGAAACTGCCCATTCACTTATTTCAACTACCCAATAAAGTGGTCAGAAATTGGCAATTTGGCTGATTTCACACAAGTTTCAACAGATGCCAGTTTCAAAATAGGGTCCAGAATAAACAATGCAGACATTCCTGGCACTAAAATAACATTTTCTCTCTTCATTAGTCACGGCTCCAGGCCCCTCTTATATTACTCTTGCTTACCGTTGGAATTTTTATTCACAAAAAAAAAAAAAATAGAAGATTTACTGTTAT